ACATTTGCAGCATTTATTAATGATAGTTCAACATTTACTACTGCATTATTAAAATAGAAATTCATGCTTGTTAACATTAGTTAACATGAACTAACGATGAACAACTGTACTTTCGCTAACTAATGATAATAGACTTTTAAAAATACTGCAATAAATGTATTGTTCACTGTTTATTCATGTTTGTAAGTGCATTAACTAACATTAGCTAATACAAGTCTATTATAAAGTGCTTTTTCCACATCATTATCTTTCTAAATTTCTCTGTAAACTTTCATTTGAGATAAACAAAACAAATAATCAAGTAAATATCTCGTCCTTGTTATATAATGATTACCAGACTTATTACTGTAGTTCTATTTACTTCAAATATTTTCTCTCATCTGTGCTCCTATTCTTTCTTTATGGTTGAAAATTCTGTACCTCATAATTGAATGGGTGACCTTTTTGTTTCAGTACAAACACAGAAATTGCTTGTCAAGTGAAATATATATATTATATATCAAGCCTGATTTATGTTTGGTATTCACGAGAGCCTTGAAATATTGTAGCATACACATAATACTGTGACTAAAATCCATTTTATTGTTGCCACTATAACATCCTCACTTTGTTTTGCTTCATAAACATCTGATTGTTGCATTTGCTTTCAGTCAGTAAAGATTTTTACACACTTTTTTTAAAAATAGATCAATACTTTTATTCAGCAGGAATGCAGCTCACCAAAAGTTGCAGTTTTATGCTTTAAAAAGACCTCTACCCTTTTTAACAAAATTTTGCAAATGCATTAAGAGCATTCAAACCACGTCTTGCGATTTATTCCATTAATAATCATTTGATGCTTTTTAAAACAACAAAACCTACTTTAATTTTTTTTTTTTACTACATTTCTATTATATGAATAGAAATGTTTTCACCTTGTCGCACACCCAGAGTACAACAATGAAAATAACATTTAAAAATATTATTGATCTGGTATCTATTAATGTATCTAAATTAAGCAATAGTAAAATAATTAAAAACACTTATAGTTATTAATCTGAGACTATTATCAATATTATTTTTTTATACAAAATATAGCTGTCGCACAGTATCAGTGTCATTTCCACCACAACACTGTAATGTTGCTTTAAAAAAATTGTGTGAAAGATTATTTGGGTGGTTTCTATGAAAGTGAGTTGTGCCATCTGAGAACGTGTTCAAGATGGAGGGAATTTAAATTTTTATCAACAACACGAATAAAAATTAAGGAAAATCTTGCTTTATAAGGAAATACATTTATTCTACGTCATTTCCAAACATGCTGTACATTCAAAGATGTTTTTAAAAACCAAACAAAATTTCAATTTTATTTTCTAATTAACTCTTAACCAAATGAATAAAAATTGAGTGTGACAGGTGTACAATTCAGCATACAACTAATTTATTTCATTGACAATTGTATAATTAATATATATATTGTGGAAAGATTGGTTAAACTGGATACAAAAATGATCCTAGACATTGTTTGACCGCCATAAATTATTTCATTTTGAAATAAAAGCTGTATATTGAGATGTGGTGGAATTGACATTTGTTCAGTTCACGATGGAAAAAAATAATTCTCTTTTTATCCAAGTTTGTCCTCTTACAGATCTTAAAACTAGACAAATTGTTTAAACTTATGAGGCTATGTTACGTTCATTTTGAACAAGTTTTTTTTTTTAACTTCACAAGTCTAAAAGTGCCCATAGTTGAAGAATGGCCCATATATTATTAACGCAATCTAACAGCAATTTGTTGCTCGATTTCTTTCGTACTATTTAGGATGATTTGCTCCCATTGATGGTTTGGTTTAGGAGCAGGGTTGGGTGCCACACCATATTGAACTCACCACTAAACTGACTAAACGTAAAATAGTTATGTTTCCTCATGAGATCAGGCTGATATTACCAATATTACCATTTTACTGGATTTAAGTTTTGAGTGAGACTTTTTCCCAAACTCTGCCTTTTGGATGTTAGTGTATCGTTTAAAACTGGCCTATATAGTCCTAGACTGTTTTGCCTCTTTGTCTTTTTCTGAAGGAATGTCATCATCTTGAGTCTAATTGGTGAAGGCTCTTACCATGCCCACATTCCTTGAGATGTTTCGTGCCTTGTATGTCGCCCCCCTTTACAACCAAACCATGTATTTCTAGTGTCTGAGACAAATGTCTCCCATTCTGGCATGACAGCCGTCAATAGCATCATTGTGTGGATGAGAGGGAGCCGTAATCTCTGCCTTGGGGCTCCAGATCTCCAGAAAGACTGGAGTGTTTCCGCCTGCTGTGTCTCCCGCAGTGGGACGTTACTGTTAAATGTTCCTCTCAGTTCATCCTTGCCCTCTTTCCTGCTCCTCTGGCCCCTTCACTTCCTGTTGGTAAAGGGGCAACCCTGTTGATTTATGGCCTGGTGAATGAGGTAGGTGAAGGGTAATTTATAGCTCTGAGCAGGACGGGACAGTCTATTTATACTCTCTGGCAGGGGTGTCTGGGGAGCAGTGAAAGTAGCAGTGGAAGAAGGGAGAGGAATCCACACACGCCTGTGTTTGCACCACAATGGCAGCTGGGATTCTCGCTAGTGCTGGTTTAAATGTGTGCAGTGATGATCTGTTTGTCTGTCTACCTGTCTGTCTGCCTGTCTGTCTATTTATAATTCTGGCACACTGGGACCTCTACTTATTGTTCTTTTGTTCACCATACTAGATATCTGCACTCAAAATGCTGGGCTTTTTAAACACAAATGAGTTAAATTGAGTTAAATGAGTTGGTGTTGGAATTTGGTGTATAAATTGAAATATAAATCAACTTTACACTGCATATCTATCTGTCTGTCTGATTTTAGATTAAGACACACACATACACACACACACACACACACACACACAGACAGAGACAGACATATACGTACTAGGAAGAATGTTGTGTTAAATTTGGTCTATTCATTTAAATTAGCGTTTTTTGAGAGTTTCTATTGACCCATTTCCACTGAGTGTCACGGTACTGTACAGTTCGGTACGCTTTTATGGCCACTTCCACTGTCAAACTGTGTTTGATTTTTGTCACACACACAGAAGCACATATGCTATATACAGTTGAAGTCAGAATTATGAGCCCCCCTTTGAATTTTTTTTTTTAATATTTCCCAAATTATGTTTAACTGAGCAGAGAAACTTTCACAGTATGCCTGTCTGATAATATTTATTTTTTTGGTGAAAGTTTTATTTGTTTTATTAAAAAAATGTTTTTTTATTGAACAATTTTAAGGACAAAATTAAAAGCCCCTTTAACTAACTATTTTCTGATAGTCTACAGAACAAACCATCATTATTATTATTATTATTATTATGATTAGAAATGTGTTGAAAAAATCTTCTCTTGGTTTAACAGAAATTGGGGGAAAATAAACAGGGGAGCTAATAATTCAGGGGGGCTAATAATTCTAACTTCAGCTTTAGATAATTAATTTTTTTAAACAAAGCATATAGTCTTTGTCTATATGCTTTGTTTAAAAAATAGAACTATCTATACATCAAAGCAAAAATATAAAGTACAAGTGAGGAATTTTGTGGTATATACAGCGGAGAAAATGAAGTGAAAGTACAACAGTGCATATTTTCGCTCTTTCCATCTATCGTTTAGTTTCATCTATAGTTCTGTCTATCTATTATTCAATTGCCATTTTTTTACTTTCATTCTGTCTTCCTGTAAATCCCTCAGTTATTTTGTCCTGATAGCTTTTAGATCAAATGCAGAGCAATGGAGAGTTCATGCTTACTTTAAGTTTTATGCTTAAACTGGTCTTCTTAGAAGATGGTTTCCTTTTAAAAAAATTTTTAAAAGGGAAAACTCATTCTGAGTTTTCAGAATGAGCCTGGGTTGATATTTTTTTCACCCCAACATGAAAATGTACTTACTATTTTATTTATCCTCAAGTGGTTTCGAACCTTTATGAGTTTATTTATTCTCTTTAACACTAAAGAAGTTATTTTGAAGAAAGCTGAAAACCTGCAACGTTTATAGTAGAATAAAACAACCACAATGTCATGTAATGGTTACAGGTTTCCAGCTTTCTTCCAAATATCTAGTTTTGTGTTCTACAGAAGAAAGAAATTCATACCGGTTTTACAAACAGTAAATGGTGAATAAAGGATGACAGATTTACATTGTAACGATAGATAGATAGATAGATAGATAGATAGATAGATAGATAGATAGATAGATAGATAGATAGATAGATAGATAGATAGATAGATAGATAGATAGATAGATAGATAGATAGATAGATAGATAGATAGATAGATAGATAGATAGATAGATAGATAGATAGATTGATTGATTGATTGAAAGATTGATTGATTGAAGGATGAATGGATGGATGGATTTATGGATTTATAGACATTAATTGAAAAATAGATAGATGGATGGATAGATTGACTTAAAGGGGCAATACTAATTAATTACATGTACTAACTTGGTTATAGTTAGGATGTTGGTTAGGTTAAGGTTTGCATATAACTTCAGAATAAATTGTATAATTACTGTAGTACGGATATGGAACATGTGTAACAAGGACACCTTAAAATAAAGTGTTACCAATATTGTCCACGTGTACTTGTCCAAGCTCAGGCATTTTTGGATTACAGAAGTAATCTTATTTTAAGTGAATCGTCTGAGACAAAGTTGTTATTGAAGTAACAACTGAGACCCCCATTAAGTCTGTGGGAAAGCACACAAGTGTTGGCGTCAATCAGAGTTTTAATGCAGAGTGTTGTTCAGTTTGTCTTTGAAACCTAGAAGCACTAAAAAGATACGGCCCTAAAAAATCAGTGCTGGCTTATCTAGCTGGTTATTTTTGGCTCTGTACTTCAAGGCAAAACACAGACCCTTTACTGAATGAGCGTGTCTAATTTAATGACTCTGTCTGATCGATTTATTCCTCAGTGGTTATTTGTCTGTAATGTCTCCTCTTGTCTGCTTGCAGGAGTCTCCTCAGGTCGTGTCTCCATGGTCTAAATCCATGATCCAGCTCATGAAGAGGTTAGATCAACTCAATCTGGACATTGAGGAGGCTCTGAGCGCTGGCTCCTCCCCCTCTGACACACCCAGCTCCGCCCGTAGATACACAGCCAATGATAGAACAGCACTGCAGGTTTTTATTAATCTCTTTCTTCTGACGTATATTGTGATTTGGGTCACATTTTACAATAAGCTTTCATTAGTTGTTGTATTTACTAACATGAACTAATTTATGAACAATACATGTACAGCATTTATTAATTCATTCAGCATTAACTAAGGCATTATTAACATCCAAATGCATGCTTGTAATATTAGTTTATGCACTGTGAGTTAACAAACTAACAATGAACAACTGTATTTTCATTACATAGTGATGCATTGTTCATTGTTTGGTTAGTAAATGCATTAACTAATATCAACTAAAACAACCTTATTGTAAAGTGTTATTGTGATTTGTTTGTTCAGATTTTTTTCTTGATTCATTATAACTTAAATCAAATATTTTTTTAATAATGACATAACGTGAATAATATGCTAATTTTCTAAATTTAGTTTTTATTTATTCACACACAGCATACTTTTTTCCCAGAGATGGGTTGCGGCTTCAAGGGCATCCGCTGCGTAAAAACTTTCTGGATAAGTTGGCGGTTCATTCCACTGTGGCGACCCCTGATTATTAAAGGGACTAAGCCAACAAGAAAATGAATGAATGAATGAACAGCATACTTTTACACACGTCAGTAAATTTAATAGTGAATGTATTACACAAAGATTTTGTGCATATACTGTATATGCAATTATTTTTAATATTACATACATTTGAAACCAGAAGTTTACATACACTGGATAAAAAGGCACATAAACATAAACAAAAAAAAAGTCAGATAAATTAGGATTATCAAATTAGTTACTGTTATGCTTAATAGCAGAATAATGAGAGAGATATTTAGTTTATCCAATTCTCCTATGGCGCATGTCTTTTGACTGTGGTGGAAATGAGAGGACCCAGAGGAAACCCAAGCAAACACTGGGGGATAACAGCAAACTCCATACAGAAATGCCAACTGACCCAGCTGGGACTCGAACCAGCGACTGTCTTGGTGTGAGGTAACAGTGCTAACCACTGAGCCACCATGTCACCCTTTAATAAATATATCTGTTTAATAAATCTGATTTGTTCAAATGCACTAAACTATTACCTATATTCACTGAGAAATAAATAAAAACAGGGTAAAAAATAGGGTGTACTCATTTATGTTGAGCACTGTATGTGTGTGTGTGTGTGTGTGTGTGTGTTTATTTCAGCATCTAGATTACTTAAAATTATACCTAATAATGACATTGTTATTAAAATACTTTTTATTTTGTTGATATTAAGTAAAAATTTGAGAGGATACACACAGAGGATATTTTTTTCCACACATCAGGTAATGTAGTATTGAATGACTGATGATATATTTTACAAAAAATGTCTGTATATAAAGTAGCCAACATTTGAAGTGGATCAAAAATGTCCTAAAACCATAGATATATACATTAGATGTCGCCTGGCCTATTGTTGTCTATTGGACGGAATGCGTCAATAGCGCCACCATCTTGGTACAGGGTAGCGCTCCTTTGAAATTAATGCGAGACCAAGGTACAGTGGAGGACTGTGGCCATCCAAAGCCAGAGATATACACATATATCTATGATCGGGAGTTTTCCTGGATGTTAGTATGTAATTTTTTTTCTAATTACGAAAATTATAATTTTACATCACTTTTCTACATTGATGGATCAGTGACCGCACGGGCATTCCTGACAAAAAGATTGTGTATGTGTGTACAGAAATGTACTATTCACCCTCCCTGTTGAATTTGATCTGATCATGTCCTGAAACACACCACCTCTCCTGCTTTCACTTCTCATACTGACGGAGGGAGCGATTCGTTTGTGAATGAATCCCCCTCGTTGTCATATTTCTTTTGCATTGTTTGCTGATTTTATTCAACAAAACTAGCATGAGCCGAGTGTTTAGTGCGAGTTGGAGCTGCTTTGCCTCATGGTGAATGCAGTAAGTGACTGTTATCATCAATAACGTTACCTGATTAGCACAAAAGTTCAGAACATACAAAAACAGAAAAAAAAATTTATATTACCTATGAAATGTTCTGCCTTTGTGCTTTGTTTTCTTTGTTTGGGCGTTACTACACCCGTAGACAGCGCTAAAGTCCAGCATCTTCACGTAATAACACTGTCTTGACTAGTGCAGTTGAATGACATTTGTCCTGGGAGCACTGTACCAATGTGGCGGCGCTATTGACGCATGCTCAGGGTCCCTATGCGATATCTAGTGTATATATCTATGTCCTAAAACAAGAATGTGAGTTATTCAATAGTTATAGCATGACTTTGATAAATGTTGAAGAACCATTAAAATTATGAGAGAGTGAGAGAGAGTGATTTCATAAATATCAGACATAAAATTTTGGAGGGGGACAAATATATGTGTTTATGAGTGTGTGTGAGTAAAAAATCACCCTATAAACTCAAATTTTTTCTGATAAATGACTAAATTGAAATAGTGTGTCGGCTGAAGTGCGTGCTGTGCCAGTGCATGGCGTCTGTCTGTGCTATGGTTTAGACAGAATGTGCTGTATGCTGGCAGAAAGTAGATCAGACTGGTGACACTGACACAGAGGTCTATTGTCTTGGGAGTTTGCCATAGGGAACATTCAGTGTCGTTTAAAAAAAAAAAAAATGCATGCAAGCTCACGACAGAACCACCCTGTAGCAAGAGTTCACAGCAAGACAAAAGTGCCTTTTGGTTCCTCGAGACAACGATGTCTTGTGCTGGGGGTCTGTTGATCTGTTTGAATCACTATATCCTTTAGGGATGGTAAGTGAAATGACATGATGGATTTCAGAGCTCTTGTTTTTAGTGAAAGACAAGATCTACATATTGCATTGGACAAGGTCATCATTTTCCTTCAGGTTCTTCCGATATCAATAGTTTAACTGTCTGAGGTGTTGCATTGATGTTGTCTTATCTGGATCAAACACATCCCATTTGATTGTAATGGTTGTGTTGTTGTTTCAGAGCGGGGCTGTGGAAGGAAATCAGTCCATCAACTGGATCAACATGGCTAGAAGAAGCGACACGAGGGAACGCCAAAGCCAAGAGAGACACGCAGGAGCCACTTCCTCTATGGGGAGATCACATGCTAGAAAGACAGAGGTGAGCATTTCCGCTTTGAAGAATTTGAAGGAATTGTTCTCTCTATAGTGTTACCACCTGGAAGCATTTAGAAATTTTAGTTTAAAAAAAAAATTAGATAGTTAAAGTGAAAATTATGGGCCTGTTATTAGTCCTCTTGTGATTTATGTCTCTTTTTGTTTTTAAATATTTCCCAAAAGATGTTTAACAGAGCAAGGAATTTATTACAGTATTTCCTGTAATATTTTTCTTCTGGAGAAAGTCTTATTTGTTTTATTTCGGCTAATATAAAAGCAGCTTTGTAAAAGCAGTGATTATTCTGACAATATTTTTTATTACTTTTTCTTAAGGTATTTTTTTCTTGGATATAAATAACTATATAGTTTGAACCGAAGTTAAATTATACTTTGAGAAAAAAAAAAATTTCATTTGAAGTAGCTTCGTTTGCAGGTGTGTGGTTAATTTGATTAATAATTCTATTTACCACAATATGTTTTATTAAATAAAAAATTTATATAAATAAGCTTTTTGTCATTATTGTCTGTTTGCTACAAATCTTTATTATAACAATAATCTTGTTTAACCAGTAATTAATAATTAGTAATAACTAGTAGTAGATTAGAGATATTTAGAGGTGTGTTCCGGTTTGATATTTTAATAATTAATGCATTGAAATTAATACACTTAATTGTGTCTAAAAGTTTTTCCTGATAAACACAGAGCCCAAAAAGTTTGTGGGGTTGAGCTTTAAGAACTACAATCGTGTTTCTAATAGCTTCTCTGAATTAACAGGACTGACTGAGTTAATTAGATTGTCCCTTGCTAATCCAAACAGGATTCCACCTTAGTCTGGGGAATTTAATTAATGAACTTAACATGACTCTAAATGAAGTCTTTTAGTGGGCAGTTTAAGGACATCACATCTGGTTTGAAATCCAATCCAATGTAAGTTAGTGCAACCAGAAATGGTTAAACCCCTAAAACAGGTTTTGTAATGAGTTTACTGTGAAGTTATTGCAATGGGAATTGACTTCATCTATCTCCCAAATATGCTGTATACCTGAAAGTAATAGTTCACCCAAAAATGCAAATTTTCTGTTAATTTATTTAACTTCAGTCCATTCAGGACTCTATTCTCCAGTGCAATTTTTTATCTGAACTGTAGTCCTTGTGGATTTTACCACAGGAGAAAAAAACAAAACAGAACAAAACAAGAAATGCGAAGTAAATACTTGTGGCTCCTGATGTTACATTAAGGTCTAATTAATCAAAATAATGCAATAAACTGTAAACTATTATAATTTTTTAAATTTTTTGTAAGCCTTAGGAAATAATTATTTGCTAAAACTGATTGATTTTGACAATTTATTTCTGTTAGTTTGCATGAATGTGCAAAACATACAGGTACTTTAATGTGTTAAAGCACCCAGCAAATTATGTAAAACACCATTTTACATGTCTAAAGCATATCAAGTGAATAAAATAAACTCTATCTACTCAGCATTTTACACAACCCATAAAAAAGGTTCCAAGAACCATTTTTTGTTCCCCAAAGAACCTTTTAATCAGTATTTTTTCATTCTTTTTTCTTTGGCCTCTTCCATTATTTATTAGGGGTCGCCACACCGGAATGAACCTCCAACAATTCTATCATATGTTTTAAGCAGCGGATGCCCCTCTAGCCGCAACCCAGTACTGGAAAACATCTATACACACTCACACTCATACACTACACCCAATTTAGTTCATCCAATTCACCTAAACCACATGTCTTTGGATTTTGGGGGAAAACAGATCACCCAGACGAAACCAGTGCCAACATGAGGAGAACATGCAAACTCCACACAGAAATGTCAACTGGCCCAATCGGGGCTCAAACCAAAGACTGTGCCGCCTCAGTAGATCTTAAAAGAGCTATTTATGTCCTAGATATAAAAACATAGTAATGATCCAGAAAACTATTTAGAATTGAAAGTTGAAAGGAGGTTCTTAATGGAACTATCTCACAATTTCAACTAAAAAGTGAACAATTTGTTTGCATATCACCCATTCATTTACATGACAACAGTGTTTCGGGGGCCTAATAATGTTAGCTTTTGAAAATGGCTGTCAAAGTGCAAATTTTTGAAAAGAAAAGTGTACAACAATAAGCCTACAAAAAGTAGTTTTGTAAAGTGTATTATGCATATTAAGTTTAGTCTATGCGAGTGCATAATATAGCGTTTTTACTTTTTCCTGTCTTCTGGTGTTTGTTGTCATGCAAACATACCCTATTATAAAAATATATATTACAGAAAATGTGGTTGACAAAATGTCAAATTCAGCATGAATAATGCATGTTTTATTGTGTTTTGATTAGTCAAGACTAGAGTTGCACTAATCAACCGGCCATGGACTTATATTAGACTGTTCAGACTGTTGCAGGTGGCACGTCATTTATACAACCTATAATTAGAGAAAGTTGGGACAGTATGGTAAAATGTAAATAAAAAAGAAATTAGTGTTTTTTTTTATTTACCGGGACTTGTATTACATTGCAGACAATACAACAAACATTATTTAATGTGTTCCTTAGGAATTAATAAATTTTTTTTTAAATAAACATGTGTTCTATTTTTGATTCTTGCAACGCATTTTAATAAAAAAGTAAGAACAGTAAAGAATTTACCACTTTGTAATGTTGCCAGTGCTTTTCACAGCACTTAAAAGACTCCAAGTGATGAAGTGTTTCAGGTGTAATTTTGTCCCATTCTTCCTGCAAAAACTTTGCACTTTAAAATGTGTCACAGGTCGGGACTGCAGGCAGGCCAGTCAAGTACCTGTATCCTTTTCCTCTGCATGTCTTGTTGAAACATGCATGGCGTCCCTGGAAAAGAAGGCATCAGATTGTGCTCAAAAATCTCTTTGCACTTTTCTGACTTTTAGAATTGTTGCTGGGAACAGTCTGGATGATCCTTTTCTTCTTTGGTTTGGCACACAGTGTCCATTTCTCCTAAAAATACTGATTCATCTGACCACTGTGCACATTTCCACCGTATTGTGGTCCATCTCAGTTGCCTCCAAACCCAGAGAAGTATCGTCATTTTCGGTATCAGCAGGTCATACTTATCAAAAAATCTGAAATTGGAATCAGCCAAGAACATTGCAATCGGTTCATCTCTAGTTGAGACCTTTTTTTTTCTAAATCATCCATTCTGTTTTAAAGGTAAGAGTGTAGTTTCAGGTTGTGCGTGGCCTGTAAAACATTCTCAGTTTGTTTGTAAGCAGCCCAGGCATTCTCCAGCAGAGGTTACAGAGGTCTGGATGTGTGTCCTGGTGCTCAGAGAAAGCGCAGAAAGAGCTGACAACTGAGCGATTGATTTATTGGTCCTGGGCTTGTGTGAAAGATACCGAAAGGAATGTTCTATCCTTCTGGAAACGAATCTGACATGCAATGGATGTAAAAATAAGAGTTTTCATGGACAATCACCGCAGCTGATTTACAGCTGTTTTAGTCCGGCTTCAGATCGACCGCAATTTATGGTGGACTTTGTGAACTATTCTGTCTAGAGCCACCCCGGCTTTGCAAGAAACAGCGAAAACAAACAATCGCCAGCTCTTCCTTTTAGCTCATTGTGAATATTTTTTCATTTCAAAGGCACGCACTCCTTTGCATTGTTCCCAAAACAATATCCGATGAGCAACAGTGGGTTTAAATGAGCACAATATCTGTGGGAATTCTGTCCGTTTCCGTCCGGCTGGAGAACTGGGCCAGATGTGTTTGTTTAATCTCCGCATAGTTGAAGCGGCGCTGGTACTTTCTGCGGTTCTTGCTTGGGAAACCCTGCTAAAGGCCTCTGGCATGGGGATCTGGGAGGTTAGAGAGAGAGTTGAAGAGGGTAATTGGATTGGAGAAGGTAATAGAATGATTTGGCTTTGTGCGCTCTGACAAAATGAAGTCTGGAGGTTCTTGGAGAAGATTAGTAGGTCAAAAGCTCCAGAGGCATGTGGAGGCCTTCAGATTGCTGGAATGAATGTAGGCCACCCCTCGCGTAGATGACAAATCCAAACTTTGAAAGCTCCTTTGGCTTTTTATCAGCTGTCTTTTAACATTAATACAATCTGTGGTTCTCACCAAGCCTGTTTTCCTCATTTACCTTCTTGTTTTAAGAATCATCAATTATTTTTATACATAATCCTATATATAAACCCAGATTAATAAAGGGACTAAGCCGAAAAGAAAATGAATGAATGAATGAATAAATGAATTTTTTATATATATGAAATCTGATTAATATTTTGATATGTATACAATTATATTCAAATTATGTTAATTTAATATATTATTATTGTTGTTGTTGTTGTTGTTGTTATTTATTATTATTATTATTATTATTATTATTTGTAATGTGAGGGCGCTGGACAAAGAAGCATCCAAGTGCAGTTTATAATGAGAATGGTCAGGCAGGCAACCGTCAGCAGGGCCAAACAGATACATACAGGGAATTGCATGATCAAAAAACAGGCAAATCAGTCAGTACAGGGGCCTGTTTCAGTAAGGAGGTTCAAACAACTCGGAGTTTAAACTTGAACTCTGACAACACACAGCTGATCTGAGCTGGGTTAATCAACTTTGAGTAGACCAACTCAGAGTTAAGCGCGCGCACCGTGACTATAAAAAGGCATTATCAATGGATCGCAGATATTACGAGTGACCATGGAAACATCTTAAAAAAGAGAGCATTTCAGCATTTCTTTCTCCGGCTGAACTTGATGTGCTCATGCAAAGTTATAGCAAATATGAGTGTATATATTTAAAATGAAGCAACCATCAGTGAAACAGAGACAGCGTGGGAAAACACGGTTTTTATCCAAAGAGTCAAAGAGAACACAATCGTCACTTCCTGATTAAATTGCACCAAATATCAACAGTAAAAACAGAATTACTGTGGTAGAAGAAGCTGCATCAATGATTTTTTATTTAATTAATGTACTTGCGCCTCAGAAGACAATTGACACACAATGAACACGTGGGGGCGTTT